TATTAAATCTCCGCCTGGTGGATGGTTATATTTTTTGTGCCAATAGAAATTTTTTTATAATTTAGATCTGATGATAGTAAGGATTCTATTATCATCATCATTAGTTATATTATTATTATTATTAATTTAGATTATAAATATGAAAGCTACAATTTATATATATACTCCCTCTATCAATTTCATTTTAATTATAAAATAATGATAATTTTATATTATAATTAATAAAAATAGAGACAAGAAATTTCAGAGGACTAAAGTTTAGTGATACAAAATAAACTTATTTTATTCCTGTAATCAATCCAAAGATATATAAATTCATGCTAAGCTTAAAATCTTGTTTTCACTTTGGCATTGACTTGGTTGTACTGGTTTTATTCAATTTCAATCTGGCTGATACTTTTCTAGTTAAAAAAATTAATTAATAATAATTTCTGCCGATCGGTATATATATTCGCGTTCATATATATAGCCTCCTTTTATTGGAATATTGTTATTATTATTATTATTATTATTTTCTCATAAAATTTTTCCCTCTTTCCTTTAATTTTGAAATGTTCTCGGAATTATTTTATTATTATTTTGTTGTCATTTTCTTTATTTTTTATTTTATTAATAATAATTTATGTACTTGCTTATTTCTTTAGTCGAAAGGCTTTTCCCTTGGAAATTCGCTAAGTTTTTTTTATATTGTTTGTTTATTGTTATATTGTTTGTTATATTGTTCACATTTTTCATCGTTTTTTTTATAAAAAATTTTTTTATAGTTCTTTCGATCCTGCTTTTCTCTTGTCAGTTCTCTTTTCTCCCAGTAAGAGTAGAACTGTGGACCGATACCCTTTTGAATTCCTTTTAATCCCACTTCTCTGATCTTTTTGATCACCGGATTTGATCCCCGGCTAACATTCATTTTTATGAATTTTTAAATTTTCCCTTTCCTGTTCTAAATTTTGTTCGACTATCGTTTTCTTTCTTTTTACTGGTTTCTTGGCAATTCTTCCAGTTTATCGAAAAGAATTGTCATTGTTAGCTGGCGGGTGGCCACCCTTTGGTAAGTTTTTATAATATTTTCATAATCCCGAGAACACATTATAATTTTTTAATATTAAAATAAAATTTGAAACATGTATATTTAATATTTGTATTTATTGATTTGTATTTTAATTTGTATGTATTGATATTTATAAAAATAAAAATCCAATTATTATAATTATTGCTATTATTGTTATTATAACCATTATTATTGGTCGCGAGCAAAATAATTTGCAATAAAATAAAATTTGAATGATCGTTTCGTATCGGGTTTCTAAAAAAAATATTTTTTTTGTGCAAACGATTATAATCATGTATTTTTCCGCAGCATCTAGGGATGGGGACGGTTTATGTCACGTCCGACGACGAATAATATTTTTATAATTGATCCGTGACGATTAATATACTAAATTACAGGTGACATTTATATTGCCAAAACA